AAGTTTTATTTGAATGAAGTCACATCTACACTTTCCATTTCAGTGTGTAGATAACTTATGGTTCAGTGCTGTGCTGCTGAGCTACATCCTGGCCCTTTGTGTAGAATTTTGAAGTGGTTAGGCCTAAGTGGGGAGCCTGATGCCTTGCCTCTTATTTTATTGTTTCTATAATGAAATACCTGAGACTAGGTTTATAAAAAAATAAAAGTTTATCTGCTTAGTTCTGATGTCTCAGGAATCCAAGATGGCACTGGCCTTTGCTTGCTGTATTACGACACAGTAGAAGGTATCATGTAGAAAGACAGAGCAAGTGTGTTAGTCAGGCCTCTGCCTCTCATGAAGCTACTTATCCCATCGTGGGGACCCACCCTCCCAACCTTATCTAGTCTTAATTACTTCCCAAATTCTTCTCCAAATATCATTAAAACATGAATTTGGGGATTCAGATTCCAACACATGAACCTTGGGGGACACAGTCAACCCAGCACCTTGTTTAAGTGGTTTGCAAGGAGCAGTGAAGTGGGTTAGCTAATGAGGAATGAAATTTTTTGTTTTGCTTTGTTGTTCTTCTACTGCTCACGCCTTCACTTTAACTTTGCATAATAAAAGATGAGGTTTCCATTTATGTATATAACTTTTTTTATTTGTCCATCTATGCATTTATTCATTAAAAGAATTCATGAAAAAAAAGAAAACTTCAAAAATAGCACTATTAAGTACATAATTGGATTCTTTTCCCATTCTTTGCTCTCAGTGAATGTAGTTGCTAATTTCAATGACTTTGGCAGTTAGTACTAATTTGCATAAAGTAGGTTCCCTTATCTGTGGGGGATATGTTTTAAGCCCCCCAGTAGGTGCTTGAAACAGGATAGTATCCAAGCCTGTGTACACACATTGTGATACTGTGGTGGTTGTTCTCATAACAGAAAATTACTGACTGGCAAGCAGGTAGCGTATACAGCATGGATGTGCTGACAGAGGGGTGATTCTTTTTTTTTGTACCTGGGATCGAACTCAGGACCTTGTGCTTGCTAGGCAGGCACGGTGCCACTGAGCTAAATCCCCAGTCCATAAAGGGGTGATTCTTGTCATGAGAGAATGAGTCAGAATTTCATCATGCTACTCAAAAATCATGTGTAATTTATAATTTAATAGTTATTTATTTCTGGGGCAGGGATTTAGCTCAGTGGTTCTGCTGCCTGCCTCGCAAGCTCAAGGTCCCGAGTTTGATCCCTGGTACCAAAAAAAAAAAAAGAATTATTTATTTCTGAAATTTTTCATTTGTTATTTTCAAACCACAGTTGACCATGGGTAGCTGGAACTGTGGAAAGTAAAACCATAGGTAAGGGAACTACTGCACTTATATCTTTATTTTTGTTTTTGCAGTGCTGGGGCTTGAAGTTCAGGAAGGCCTTGAAGTCAATTTGTACCCCAGACTGGCCTCAAACTCATAGCGATCCTCCAGCCTCAGCTTCCTGAGTGCTGGGATTGTAGGTGTATACCACCACACCCGGTTCACTTTTATTATTATTGTTTTATTTTTTTGGTACTGGGGATTGAACTCGGGACCTCATACCGTAAGGCAGGCAACGGAACCACTGAGCTTAATCCTCCAGACCTGTTATTATTGTTGTTTTATTTATTAGTACATGTTTACAGTACATACATTTTACAGTCATCTTGGGTAGTTGGTATATGTACGTAATACAGCTTGATTTTTTAAAAATGCCCCCATTCCCCTTTTTCTTTTAAAAGAACAAGCTTTTGTTTGTTAATTTTCTCTATTGATTTCTGTTTTGAATTTCACTGATTTGTTATAATTTTTATTAATATTTTCTGCTTATTTTGTATTTAATTACTCCTTTTCTAGGTTTTCTAAGTTGGAAGCTTATTGATATTAAATCTTTTTCTTTAACATAAATGTTTACTATTATAAATTCCCCTCTAAGCACTGTTTGCTGTATTCAATAATATTTTATATATTATATGTTCATTTTCATGTAGTTCAAGATATTTTTTATCTTTCTTTTGAGATTTTATGTTTGATTTGTGTGACCCATGTAGTTTCTGTTGTTGACCTATAGGTTAGTTCCTTTATGGTCTGAGGGAAGATATTTTATGATTTTTATGCTTAAAATTTGTTTATGTTCATTTTATGGGCTACAGTATGATCTGTTTTGGTGAGTGTTTCATGTGAGCATGACATGAAGTAGTTTATAGATGTCAGTTATATCCAGTTTATTATTGGTGCTGTTGTTTTCTCCCTGCTGGATCTGTCATGTTAGGTTCTTTTACTTTAATGTGTTTATGTGCTGGGGATTGTACCCAGGGCCTCATGTATGGTAAGCACGTGTTGTACCACTGAGCTGCGTCCTTAGCCCCGTGTCCATTTCTGATAGAGGAATGTTGAGGTCTCCAACTAAAGTGTGGATTCACCTATTCCTCTGTTTGTTTTATTTCACATATTTTGACCTTCTATTATTAAATGCGTAGAATTGGAGAATTGACCTTTTATCCTACATAACATCCTCCTATCCTTTGATAACTTTTTAATGTAATTCCTCCTACCTTTCATAACTCTCCTTGCTTTGAAGTCTCCTGGGTCTGGGTCTTAAGATAGCTTCTACTGCTTTCTTTTGGTTGGTGTTAACAATGGTGTATCTTCATCCTTTTATTTTAAAATAAGTTTCTCATAGACAACATAAAATTAGGCCTTGGGTTTTGATCCATTCTGATAACCTCTTGGTGTTTTTAGACCATTGATGTTTAAAGTGAATACTGATATAATTGGATTAATATCTACTATATTTGTTATCATAGTTCTTTGTTCTTTTTTTTAATCTTCCACTTTTTCTTTTTGTGCTTTAAATTGAGCAATTTATAGAATTCCATTTTCTTGCCTTTTTTTCCCCTAGTTTTAATTTTTTATTAGTATATGTTTGCATTATTTAAGGATTACATTCCTTGTAGGGAGTTGGTGCATGTACATAACACATCTCAATTCTCTTTTCATCCCCTTTCCCTCCTCTCCCTCCCACCTCCCTCTGTCTCTAATTCCCTTCCTTTTGAAAAACAGCCATCTCCCTACTTCCTATTATCCATCTTTTATTTTGCTCTCTATGTTTTGGGTTTCTCTTATAGCAAAACCATGCAGTGTTTAAGCTTGTATTTTTTATTTCATTTGACATTATGGTCTCAAGGTGCGTCAATTTTCCTACAAACAACTCATTTATCCTTCTTTTTTTTTTTGGTATCAGGAATCGAACTTAGGACCTTGCGCTTTTGAGGCAGGTGCAGTGCCACTGAGCTAAATCCCTGGCTCTCATTTATCCTTCTTTATGGAGAGTAATACTCTATTGGGAATAAACATCATATTTTCTTTATATACTCACCTGTTGATGGATATATAGGCCACTTCCAAGATTTAGTTATTATGAATTGTGCTGCTATAAACATGGGTATGCATGTATCACTGTAATATGATGTCTTTTAACTCTTTTAGGAAAATACCTAAAAGGGTTGAATGGAATTTGCAGTCTTACTTTTTTGAGGAATCTCCCCTTTCTTAGTATATCAGTTATACTTCCTTTCAAAAATTTTTAGAGGCTACCCTAGTGTATGCAATATACATTTACAGCTAGTCAGAGTTCACTTTAAAATAATAGTTTATCAGTGGGTAATGCTTATTACATTATATAAAATATTCATAGTTCATTCTATTTCTTGGATTATTGCTGCCATTCACTTCACTTGTATGTAATCATATATAAGCATATGTATCTACATAAGTATACATAATCCTATAATGTTGCTGTTATTACTTTTATCAATCTGTTGTCCTTCAAATCAGTTAAGATTAAGAAAACTAGCTGAGTGGGGTGGTGTGTGCCTGTAGCCCCAGCTTCTTTGAAAGCTGAGGCAGGACTGCTTGAACCCAGAAGTTCAACACCAACCTCAGCAACTTAATGAGAACCCATCTTCAACAAACAGACCAACCCATCAAAAAGCCCTTTTATTTTGCTTCCACTTATCCTTCTCTGATATTCGTCCTTTCTTTATTTAGATTCAAGTTACAAGCCTATGTGATCTTCTTTCTTCCCCTGAAAAAATATTTTTAAATTAAAAAAATTTTTTGTAGTGCTAGGGATTGAATGCAAGGCCAGGCAAGTGGTGTACCACTAAACTGCATTCATCATTGTTTTTAATCTCAGTCTGATAATTCTGACATTTTTAAATATCTGAGTCTGGTTCTAATGCTCGCTCTGTGTCTTCAAAGTCTTTTTTGCCTTATTGGTTGCCTTATAATTTTTTGAATTTATTTTTTTGGTACTGGGGATCGAGCTCAGGTTCCTTGTGCTTTCAAGGCAGGCACGGTGCCACTGAGCTAAATCCCCAGCCACCTTATAATTTTTTGTTGAAACTTGGACATGATGAACTGGGTGATGATGTGGACATGATGAACTGAAGTGATGTGGTAATAAGGCATGGGGGGAGGGGAGTCATTCTGTTATCTGTCATTAGGTCTCAGTCTTGTAGTAAGCATGTACCCCTTGGCTGTGGACTTCACTAGTTTTTCTTGATTTTTCCCCATACAGTGGGCTGGTGTTGGGTATTTTTCTTCTCTCAAGTAGGCCCTGGTGAAACCTCAGAACTCTTTTGGTAAAACAGTTTCTTTTGATGATAGGCTTTGTTAAGAACACAATACTCTGGAGTATTTCAAAATGGTTTCTTTTCCTCTTTCTCTGGTAGAAGCTCAGGGGATTTTTTTCTCTGATAAATCACTGTAAAAACCTGGTAGAGCTCTTTTAGTAAAATTTGCAAAAGTGTAGAGATTGCTTCATGGATTTATCATATTAATTTTATTGCATTACAGTAAGATAGTCCTAAAAAACTGTGAGCTATGTTTTTTATTTCTACAAATTTGAGCTGAAGGTTTGTTTGGTGAATATTCAGAGACTTATTATAGCAGTGGTTTCTATTGATTGTGTCTTTCTCTCTAGTACTTGGACCGTGAGACTGTGTCAGCCACATTCATTGACAGCAGTGGACAGTTTGTTTCCTCCCAGGCTGCAGGCATCAGCCGGAATCCCTACTGTGGCTATGAGCGCCAGACCCTGTCCAGTCGGGAGCGCATGGAGGAGGACTCCTTGCTGGCTGCCTTGCAGTGGCAGGTGTCTGATGTGGGCCTAGTCCCCTTTGTGAAGAGCACTGATCCTTCTTCTAGCTACTTTGTCATTTTGAACTCTGCAGCCTTCTTCAAGGTGGGAAGTCAGCTGGAAGTGCTGGTTCATGTGCAGGATTTTCAAAGAAAGCCCAAGAAGTATGGTGGAGACTACTTACAGGCCAGAATCCACTCCTCCAAGCTGCAGGCAGGGGCTGTGGGCAGGGTGGTCGACTACCAGAATGGCTTTTACAAGGTATTTTTTACTTTGCTCTGGCCAGGCAAAGTTAAAGTGTCCATATCTCTGGTTCACCCCAGTGAAGGGATCAGAGTTCTTCAACACCTGCAGGAAGAGAAACCAGATAGGGTCTTTTTCAAGAGTCTGTTCCGTTCAGGAAGAATTTCTGAAACTACTGAGTGCAATGTGTGTCTTCCTGGGAGTCTGCCTCTGTGTAACTTCACAGATCTCTACACTGGAGAGCCCTGGTTCTGCTTCAAGCCAAAGAAGCTCCCCTGTAGCAGCAGAATTAACCATTTCAAAGGTGGATACCTAAAGGGCCTCCTAACTGCGTCCGAGAGTGCTTTCTTCCAGAGGTATGTGCTCCTTGTTTCAGGGGTCATTCAAAAGCCCTTCCACTCTCCTGGTCCCATTTGGGAGGCTTTCTTGTTTTGAGTGTATTCCTCATCTCTCTCAACTCGACCCAATTTAAGAGGTGGTAAATAAGAAAATAAACTCAGATTTGTGTTTTTGGTTAGAGTTAAAAGGGATGTTTAGTGCTTACTGAAGATCAAATTAAAGATCTTTTACTTTTGAAATTTTGTTCTTACCCTGATATTTGTTTTACTTCAGATCTATTCACAGTATTTATAACTGTAGGCAAGATTACTTTATTTTTAATTTTTAATTTTTTGTTTTTTTGAGATGGTCTCACTATGTAGTTCAGGCTGGCCTTGAATTCACTATGTAGCTCAGGATGGCCTCAAACTCATGATCCTCCTGCCTCAGCCTCAGCCTCCCGAGTGCTGGGATTACAGGCGTGTGCCACCACTCCTGGCCTCAAGATTACTTATTCACAGACAGATTTTTAAAAAATCATCCAGCTGTGCAAGTGGGAAGAGAAACTAGAGATAGAAGGAGTGGGGAGGCATAGGAGGACAAGGGGAAGTGAAAAGAATGAAGATGTGCTATGTACATGTACCAACTCCCCGTGATGGATGTAATCATTCTTTATAGCAAACATGTCCTAATAAACATAAAAACATTATCCAAGAACAAGGCTGTTAAGGCTTTGATAGTTAGGGTTGTGCTGTAACTTTGTGTCAAACTAGAAAAAAACTTTCCAAAGTGACATAATGCCAATTTTTAAATCATATGAATAATTATTGATAGGAAAAAAGACTGATTATGGCATTATTAGCTGGGTTGACAAGCATAGAAAGCCAGGTATATCACAGAAAACTGTATTTTTTAAATTAACAGTTGTTGAAATTGCAATGTTGCACTCAAATTCCTATTTTTAATGTAAGCATAAAACATTTTCAGCATAATTATTAATATATGGACTAATGGGAAAATGGAATGTGTGGAATCATGAATTGAAAACTGTTTTCTTCAATATTCCATATGGTTCTGAAGTAAAATAACATTCCTAAGAAGTAAAGTTATGTTGGATCAGAGGAATAACTTTTAATGCTCTATAGCACAATAGGGTAACTATGGTTGAGAACAATTAAATGAGTATTTTGAGCATTCTTTTTTCTTTTTTGGTACTGAAGATCGAACTCAGGACCTTTCATTTGTAGGGCAGGCGTGGTGCTACTGAGCTAAATCCCTGATCCTAATTGAGTATTTTGAAATAACTAGTACAAAGGATTTTGAATGTTTCTAAGACAAATAAATGATAAATGCTTGAGATAATAGGCCAGTTATCCTATTCTGATCATTATACATTACATACACTGTATATATTGAAAAGTCACACTCTGCCTAATAAGTATATAGAATTACTGTGTATGAATTAAAAATAAAAATATTTTAAAAAGAAAAAGTTATAGAAGCTACATGGTCAAAAGGCACAATTATTTGAATACATAACTTTTCACTTTTTAATCTAATATACTTTTTTGTTTTTTGAGACAGGATCTTGTTTGTAGTTCATGCTGGCTCTGAACTCACTCTGTAGTCCAGGCTGTCCTTGAACTTACAGTGATCCTCTCGCCTCAGCCTCCCAAGTGCTGGGATTACAGGTGTGTGTTACCACACCTGGCCTCAAATAATATACTTCTTAAACACTGTTAGGGAGCACATCTGGGTACCTTAAAAAATTTCATATTTTATATCTACTCTCCTTAGTAGAGGAAAAGTTGCTACCATAAAGTATGTGGTCTGTAGGGACTCCTGAAATAAAACTTTCCGATTTTCCAGTTCTGAAGTCAACTTTTGGTGGTGTCAGTTTATGCACATGTATAGTGGACTCATGCCATGCCAGCAGAGGGAGCCTTACTCAGTGTGTTTACTGTAGTCTTCTTGAGAAGCCTGTTACTTTGTATGGCTCACTACAAAAATGAAAATAAAGCTAAACAGCAACCAGACTAAAAACAAAATCAAAAGTTTTATCTTTGATCCCAGATTCAGATCTCAGACATGTTAGTTATCATTGACAGACTATTTCATTGCTGTGCATTTTTTTTTTTTTTGGCCTATGTTGTAGAGATTACTCAGTTACTTCTTTTTAGAAGTCTGTAAATCTACTTAATACCCTAGCAAAGAGAAAGGAGCATAGTTTATAATTTATTCAAATTCCACGTGAAAAATAGTTGGAGAAAAGTTAGAGAATTAAATTAGTGAAAAAAATTAAAAATACCCCAACACTGAATCCTACCATTAAAAGCAGAAAAACACCTGTTAACCCAAAAGCCTAAGGTTCTGTAATGTTTTTGTTCCTGCCCTTACTTGCAGGTCCTGGCTGAGGCTGACTGATGGAGTATTGTAGTAAGAGTCATTACAGAATCTTTACCTGGAAGTTTGCTGGGAAAGCAGTTTTTGAGGTGGTGTACATCTTTGGAAACTAAACATTTGACACAGTCCTAATAATTGATTTTCCTTTTCTTCCACTCTGCTAAGGTTTTAGAATATTATACCAGCCTCTCTGGAAAGAAAAAGTGATAGATTGAAATTGATCTCTTGAAGGATCTTTGGGTATACTGTTTTGAGCTCATGGCCTGAATGTTTAGCTGATACCGTTTCTTACCTCTCTCCTTTGGTGGCTCATAGCCTTGCCCAAGTTAGAAGAAGCATAGCCTTAGTATCTTGTTCCCTAAATGACAGGTGGACAGTTAAGGTGATATAATTTTTGTTCTTTAGCCTTAAGGGAAAAAGTGTTCAACTTAGAAAGGACAGTAGTACAGTACTTTGCTTAAAAGAGCCTATATTAGTATAAGGAAAGACCTTTTGAAAGAATGAGCTTATCACCTGAAAACTTCCCTTTTATTTTAGCCTGATTGTACTTTTTGTCTTTCTAATTTTGTGTTAAGAAAGAAAAACTCTTCAAAGTTGGATGAGGCAGCATTCTCCTGCAATCCTGGAATTTTAGGAGGCTGAGGCAGAAGGATCACACATTTCAGCCTAACCTGGGCAATTTAGCAACTTAAAAGACCTTGTTTCAAATTAAAAAATAGAAAGATAGGGATTTTGCTCACTACAAAGGCCCTGCATTCCATAAACAAAGAAACCAACCCCCCCTGCTTAACAATGACACCCATATATGTTTTTCCTAGAGTCACTATTGTTAATTTTTTGTTTTGTTTTGTTTTTTGGTACCGGGGATGGAACTCTGGTCCTTGCGCTTGCGCAGCAGGTGGCGAAACCACTGAGCTAAATCCCTGGCCCACCATTGTTAATGTTTTGCCACATTTGCTTTATTTTCCTCTCTAATGTGTATGTGTTTGTTTGTGTTATCTGCGTCTAATTTTTTCCTCCTGGACCATTTAAGAGTAAGTTGCAGTCATCATGGCACTGCACCCCAGAAGTATGCATCTTCTAAGAGCATGAACTTTGTCCAACATACAACCATGGCACAATGATAGCATTTAGGACACTTATCATTGATACAGTACTACTAGCTAATATTCATTTCGTCTTCAGGATTTTCCAATTGTCCCAGTAATAGCAGTTCTCTATTTTAGCTAATCTAACCTATGATCACACAATGTATTTAGTTATTTCTTTAATCCTGAATTGTTTTTTTTTTAGCATATTTTGGTTATGATGATATGATCAATTTTAATATTGCTTTATTGTTTAGTTTTATTTTTTCCACAATGACTAGATTCAGGTTAGTTTTGTAGTGAAATTGTATAGGAAAATTTCCTACAAATTGTTTTATATAATTATATAATTGTTGTATAATAAAACTATGCTCCTGAAAGTATTTTGTATTTGTTCTCCTAAAAGTCATATTTTTCTTAAATGTCATTTATCGAAGACAGACCATTCTGTTCTCTAGTGTGGCCAGCTCTATATACATCTTTCATTACTTGTTTTTTGTCTGTCTCCATCATTAAAATGTCTGTTCCGTGAGGGAGGAGATACTGTATATTCTGTTTACTGTGATAGTCCTGCCATCTAGGACAGTACCTGGAGAATAGTAGAAACTTAAAAATTATTTTTGAAATGAGAACATCTTTTCTGAAATTGATGAGATAATAAAATTATGACTGTACATTCCTATATCAAAAGTGTGGAAAGTTAAAACTTTACTTATTTTGTTTTGTTATTGTTGTTTCAGTGCTAGGGACTGAACTCAGAGCCTTGGGCATGGTAGGCAAGCACTCTACCACTGAGCTACACTCCTAGTTTTTAAATTTTATTTTGAGTCAAGGTCTTGCTAAATTGCCCATGCTGATCTTGAACTTGTGATCCTCCTACCACAGCTTCCTGAGTAGCTGTGATTATAGGTGTGTGCCATCCCATCCAGTTATTAGTTTTAAAAAATTTTTTTATTAGTACATGTTTGCACTACATAATGTTTACATTCCTTGTGTGGGGTTGGTACTTTTAATAACACATCTTAATTCCTTTTTAAATCTCCTTTCCTAGCTATTAGTTTTTGACCTAAATGTAAGAAGTGTAGTTATTGTGACTTAGCTTCTGGAATAGTTGTACTGAGTTTTTAGTATTCTTCTGGCCTTCACTTTCCCTCAGTTTTTCATGTAGCTGTCCAAAAAAATTCACTCAGCATGAGCAATAGTCCAGGACATGTGCTAAGTGCTAAAAAGACAAACGATGAATGAGGCACCATTCATGTTGTTGAGGGTTGCATGTTTTAGTAAAGGGAACAGGCACTGAGGAGTCATGGCAATGATGAACAAAGCACGGCATGTGTACATATCTGGGGGCAAGTGTCCCCAGAACGACTCTGATCTGGAGAAGGCCTAAGGAATCTGATATGTGAGTTAATGCTGCATAGACTTGCAGTCTGAAATCTAGATATTCCTCTCAGTGTAAGCCATTCTCAAGTTCAAGAGAAGTAATTCAAAGCAGAATTAGTCATTTTGGACTTTGTACTTTCAAGACAGGTGAGGAGTATATAGTAAAGTAAAAACTTTCTAAGAGTATTTAATTCCTCTTTAGTTTACATATCCATGTAACCTTATTTCAAGAGACCTAGTTTATTAGTTACTAATTGTGTTGGTTAACAATTTAAAGTATATTTTGTCATAATGCTCTGTGGAATCATCTATTTTTTTTCACTTGCAGATAAAGATATAAAACTGAAAATAAATGTCCCTGAATCTAGGCTTATGCTTCTTTTTTTTAATTCTTCCTAAAGTGATGTCAATATTAAAATGCCCATCAACTCCAGTGGACCAGACTGGGTGACTGTGATTCCCAGCAGAATAAAAGGTAAAAAAAGTAATGAGCTTGATGATTTGTTGTTTTTCTTGCTAAGTGGGTTGAGGTTCTTTCATTTCACTGATACTACAAAATCCATTTTTCCCTTTAACGGGCATGGTTACTTCTGGTCTCAACTCAAAATATCTAAAGCTGATGTTTGAAATTAGCTGGACCTCACATGCTTAATTCTGTTTTGCTATTTATACACAAGTAAAAGTTATCTTCTCGTGTCACACCGTCCTCACTTAAGGTTGGCCCCTTAGGAGCCGTTAGAGCTGTGCTGTCCAATATGTGAGCTACTAGCTTCATGTGGTTAACTTAAAATTAATTAAAATAAAATAAAAATTCAGTTCTTTAGTCACACATATTCAATAGCTTTTCTTCATGTTGGACAGCATTTTATATAGAACATATCCATGATTGCAAAAAGTTTTGCTGGACCTGCTCTAGAGGTATTCCACAAATGTACAGAGAGTGATCGTGGAAAATTTTCAAATCAAAAACATTGAGTAGGGACAGAAGATAAAATTCAGCGGTTGAGTGCCTGCCTAGCATGCCCAAGAACCTGGCTTTAATCCCCAGTGTGTGTGTGCACATGTGTGCATGGATATACACACACAAATACTCACATACACTCATCACTGAATTGAACATCTCTTCTCAAAGTGAATGTCTTGGTTTTCTTGGTTCTGAGAGAGTACTCAACACCTAAAGTTAAAGGAGGAAAGGTTTATTTTGGCTCACAGCCCATAATTGGCTGGCTCTAAGGCAGAGTGGCATGGCAAAGGGGCATCGCAGAGCAGGCAGGAGGCAGCAGAAGTAGAAGCAGCAGCAAGTGAAAGCAGCAACCCTCCTTCTGTCCCTTATATTCCATCCAGGATGGGGACGCTCTTGATCACAGCATTGCACCCTTAGTCTCAGCATCACGCATGCTCGATCCAGCCAGCTCTGAAAATCCCCACATATGACTGCATGAGGGTCTGGGGGGGATATCTAAACACAGTCACAACAGTGTGTATCAGTAGCATCGGCATTGCCAGGGCATTTGCTAGAATTGCACCTTTCCAGGTCCCACCCCAGACAATTGTATCATAAATTGTGACTGGTGGTGCTCAGTAGTCTGTGCTTTAACAAACTTTTCAGGTGTTTCTGATCCATTGACACAAAGTACTAGTAATAAAAGAATGCAATTCAGAGGAGTAAGTGTGTTATATTTTTGCAATATAGATATAATTAGCTATAGTGATTTGTAGAAGGATGAATATTTGGTTTGTTTTTTTTTTGGAACCGGGGATCGAACTCAGGACCTTGCGCTTGTGAGGCAGGCGGCAGAACCACTGAACTAAATCCCCAGCCCCAAGGATGAATATTATTACGGAGATTTATATAGATAGCAGGCAAGAATCTCTAGTTGTTGAAGGTATCCCACACAGCAGATGTTGCAGATCCTTTTCCATAAGGACTGATACATAATGTACATGGACCAAGCAAGCTAGGCACTAGCCATATGCATGCCTTGTGAGAGTTGTGGGGAAGGAGCAAGGACTACCTCAAGGGGTGAGGCTCTCCTCAGTTCCTGTCACTTTGTTACCACATAGAAACAAACCCAATGCAACCTTATTTGTCAGTTGTATTTTTCCATGAAAAACCAGAAATCTTAATTTTTAAATGTGATATTTACAGAGTTTGAAACATTAGCATCCAGCTGGGTGTGGTGGTGCCTGCCTTTAATCCCAGCACTTGGGAGGCTAAGGCAGGAGGATCGCAGGTGAGTTCAAGGCCAGCCTGAACCACATAGTGAGACACTGTCTTAAAAAAACAAAAAACAAAACAAAACAAAAAACAGTGGCATCCAATTCAAAAGTCTTAAAATATTATATGGGTTATTTGTGTCCCAGATGCAGGCAAGGTACTGCCAGTTGTATCTGTGGTCTCCATTGTCATATGCCAAAACTTCTCAGTATTTTCCTGATGAAGAGTTGTAGTTGATTTACTTAACTTAGATGAATCACTAATTTTGTAGGATACATATGTGAAAATCATTAACATTTTTCTTTCTGAGTCTCATGCCCATGGCCAAGGTGTCAGTAGACATGGTATCCTCTCAGAGGTACTGCAGTCTGAATATCCTTCCATCCTTACGAGGCCCCATCCCTCCACTGACTCTACCCTTTTTCCTGCATGGCCCTGCCTGGCTTGCCCACCTTCTGACGGGTGTCCTGTGGAATGGTTAGTGAGAGGAGCTTTCATGGTTTACTGGCACCTGATGGACCTTAGAGATCAGCCAGGAAGTGGTGTGGGTTTGTGATGTACAATTCTGGTTAGAGCAGAGATGGATTCAGTAACTAGTGAAGTATTTAGATTTTTAGAGGAAGAAAATAACTTTGAATCAATATGAACAGAATACCCAGACTTTGAATAAGAAAACCACCACGTATCAGGTAGGTTATTGGCAATAGAAAAGGGCAGTTGAGCGCCAGGGATTTAGCTCAGTGGTTCTGCCACCTGCTTCGCAAGCACAAGTTCCCAAGTTTGATTCCTGGTACCAAAAAAAAAAAAAAGGCAGTTGATTTATATTATATACAAGAAGCATAGGTTGGCAGAACTTCACTGAAGTTCACCTTAGTGACCAGCAGAGGGCACTCAACCCCCCCCATAAGGGGGGTTTATTCTTGATGCAAACATTGTGTTTTTGCTTAAAATCTCAACTATTTTAGCATTCATTGGTTCTTGTCTGCAGCAATAGTTTATGTAGAATTATAATGATGAAAACATAGCTTTCATGTTATCAGTGTTTATTTTTTGGAATTGTTTTCATAAAGAATAGTTGTCCTGGGGCTGAGGGTATAGCTCAGTGGTATAGCACTTGCCTAGCATGCACAGAACCCTGAGTTTGATTCCTGGTAGTGGAAACAAACAAAACACAAGACAAAGAAGAGTTATTTTTTCCCACATTTGTTTAGTACAAACTCATCTTGAATTATAATCCAGCTCAATTCAGTATTTTTTCTGCTCAAACTATTTCAGATATGGGAGTTGGAAACATCTTTTAGTTTGGTTTCTGTACCCTTTTGACATGCTGTCATCCTTTTTATTGAGCATTTCCTTACTTTCTGGCGCTATAAGGTATTTTAGGCTCTTGTATTTTTTTCTCTAGCACTACAACAGTTCGTAATCTTTACACATCTATTTTATTTATGAATCCTATATTTTGAAGTTTTTATTCTATGAAATTTTATTATTCATGTATCAGCTAATTAATTTTCCTCTGAGATAAAATTATTCTAAGATGCATTTTGAGAGTCCAGTGGATTGCTTGAGACTGCCAATGCTACTACCATGTGTGGCTATAAGTTCAGTTAAAAGAAACATCTTGGAGCCGGGGATTTAGCTTAGTGGTTTTGCCGCCTGCTGCGCAAGTGCAAGGACCCGAGTTTGATCCCCGGTATCAAAAAACCCCCCCCCAAAAAATGAAAAAAAGAAATGTCTTTATTTTTTCTGTACTAGAGATTGAACCCAGGGCTTTTTGCACTGAGTTACATCCCTGCCTCTTTTTTCTCAGTTTTTATTTTGAGATGGGGGTCTTGCTAAGTTGCCCTGGGGGACTTGAACTTGTAATCCTCCTGCCTCAGCCTCCCAAATAAAGGCTTGTACCACCACACTTGGCAAAGAAACATAATTTTTAATTACAGTAGACTAGCTTATCCAGGGCGGTTAACAGACTATCCCAGTGTCAGAATTACTGGTGAATTTTCCTGAGCATCTGTCTGTGGTCCTCAGATCATCACAGCTGAATAACTCAGGGGCCTTGATGAATTTGAACCTTCTCAGGAACTTGAGCTCATATATTGTTGGGGAGCTTATCCTGCTGAGATGGTACCCAAATTTTGACCCTTAATTTACATTGTATCCCTTCATTCAGTTCTTTTTAGGTAGTTTTGGGAAATTTACCTCTTTGCCTTTTTCCTCCTCTCCTTTTCTCCCAGTTTGGGCCCAGATGGCCCTCACGGCAAGTGAATGACGTGCAGTGATACCCTTTGGAGGAACATGCAGCTCTGGGCTTTAAAGAGAAGCCAAGACATTTTAGAGAATTTGGGACATTACTTGTGAATAATCAAAAGTGTACCTTCTCATTTTGCACAAAGATGGTCATATCTGTCTTTACAATCACCTCTGTATAAACTTTTCCCTGTACCACCAGTAATTCCAGAAAGCCATAAATTTGAGTAATATTTTTTGTTTTAATTTTTTATTCCACATGAATAATATTTTAGGTGTTATAGTATAACTTTAAGACTTCAATGTCTTATTTATTTTACATGGAACTTCTTTGTGTTCCAGGAAACCCTTGACTTTTAAAATAACTTCAGATTGCTTGAAATCATTTTAAGTCAGGAAATATTTTTGTCCTGACTGAGTGTAAAGGGGCAGCAGAGGTGCTATGTGCATGTCACCTAAAATAATACTGTTGGGCTGAGGATTTAGCTCAGTGGCACTGTTCCTGCCTTGCCAAGTGCAAGGTCCTGAGTTTGATTCCCGGTACCAAAACAAAACAAAACAAAAAGCTGTTTTGTAGCACAGGGCATGTTTAAAGAATCAAGAGTCAGGTACAGTAATTGATTTGCTTTGCTAGACTTAACTCTGGTAGTAAATATAATTAATGTTTGAATGGAAATAGTAATTGTTTCTGTGTGATATATAATTTTCTTTTTAACATGTACTTGACACAAAATAGCCAGATCTGCCATATTAGCTATGGTAAAATTGTATTTTCAAAATCCAGTTTAATTCTTATCTTAGTAAATGTTTTTTGTGGGCCCCAGGTGTCTCCTGTGTGTCTCTGTAGCTGTGCAGCTTTGATGCATTAATATATTAATGCACTTTGGGCAAGGTGTTAGTAGCAAAGCTGTATCTAATAGCATGTTGAGAAATACTTTGTTCTGTTTTGTTTTTTTGAGATGGTGTCTGGCAATGTTCCCAAGCTGTTACTGAATTCTGAGACTAAAGCAGTCATCCTGCCTCAGTGTCCCAAATAACCTGTAATATAGAATACTGTATCCAGTGGAAAAAATTGGTTTTGAATAAGCCAAATAAATATCCCCCCCATTTTCTTTGATGAGTGTATTTGCCAAAATAAAGCTTAAAATACACTGTTGACTTTTCCACTTGAGTCTTGAACTTGCAAAAAAATTAGCATATGCTTAAGAAAAGAAAGATAGGGCTGAGGATTTAGCTCAGTGGTTCCGCCACCTGCCTAGCAAGAGCAAGGTCCTGAGTTCAATCCCCGGCACCAAAAAAAAAAGAAGAAAAAAAAGAAAAGAAAAGAAAGAGAGATATGTACTGTCTTACTGTCTGTCAAATAGGGCATTATTTTCTTTGAAGGGAATAAAAAAATCCAAAATTAATCTTGAGAAACATGATAATGTAAAGAAGTCAAATAAACTGAAAATAGTCACAACTTGAGGACTCATTTAAATTTAAATTTGAGTCATATAAGCATTTAGATTTCAAATTATGGTTTAACAGGTGACTATGATTGGACTATGATCAAGGTTGAACCTTGGGGTAAGGAAATGACATAAAATGATTGGTGGTGAAGATTTTGAAGATTATAGATTTGAATAATTGTTAGAAATGATTAAGTATATACCTTCAAGGAAAAGGTTAAAAGAAATGGGTGACATCTATGTTTGAGAAATAGTATAGCACAGTGGTTAAGAACCTGGGCTTCAAGGCTGGGGCTTTAGCTCAGTGGTGCCACTGCCTGCCTCGAAAGTGAAAGGTCCTGAGTTCCATCCCTGGTACCAAAAAAAAAAAAGAACCTGGGCTTCAGGACTCTCCTGTGTGTCAGATTCTGGCTTTCTCATGTACTAACTGAGCTCTGTGACCTTTGTCAAGTTGTTTGTTATGAAAGGCAGAGACCTCCTTTAAAGAGCTATTGTGAGCTTCTTATGAGATAATATGTTTAATTGCTCAGAATAGTGTCTGGTGCAGAATAAACTTGCAAGAAATATTAGCCATCACTGTCTGTTTTGAAGCATGTAAAGTGTATTTGTTTCCATAGTGTCAGTTTTGAAAGGAGATGTTAGGTTAGAAAGATGTTGACTTTCCTTCTGAAAGGGGTCTTGGTGCTGTGTCATCATGTGTAGCTAGGCTACAGTGGCGAGTACACATTGCCAGTGCTTTTTGAGCATTTCTCATTATGCATAAAGACCTTGTGAACCTTTTGTATTGTGCAATAATTCTTTATATATCATTAGTTTATTCTCTGTATTTAATGGGCTCCCTCTCCCTCTCCCTCTCCCTCTTAGTGTCTCTTTCACTGGGGATTGAACCCAGGGCTTTCACACTGAGCTACATCCTAGCCCTTTTTAAATTTTAAAACATGGTTTAACTCACCCAGACTGGGCTGGAACTTGTGATCCTTCTGCCTCAACACTTCCCAAGTGTTGAGATTACAGGTGCTGACCATCATGTCCAGCTCAATGGTGGTTTTCTGAAGTAAAAATTGAATTTAGGACCCATAGATTAAAATTTTCATTATAATGACCTGAGAAACATTATATGAATATTACTACATATGTGTGAGATAGGAATTTGTTACTGGCCTCATGAGCTTTTAGATGAAAAGCAGTTCTGTTCTGAGGCAATGCTGGAAAAACGTTTATGTCCACACATTTCCTTGTTTTTTGCTTTTATTTTTGCCTTTGATAAAAACGTACATAATCAGATAGAATGCTCAAAGTCCCCCTGTGCCTTGTGTCCACCAGTACCCCACACTAATTTCACATCTTCCCATTTTTGTGCAAAAAAGAACGGAAAGTCTGTGATTTCTCTGAGATATGCCAACAGGAAGTGTTGCCCATGTGTTAGCAAGCTAACAAATATGTGGAGATAATTGTATTTCTTGGAATGTTTTTCATCTATTATTGGAGGAAAATTTTATGATATATTATTTTTCTTTTTTTCTTTACAGAAACTTACAACTTAGAATTATCTCAAGGCTCAGGAACTTTTCCTTCTGGTTATTATTACAAAGACCAGTGGAGGCCCAGAAAGTTTAAGATGCGCCAGTTCAATGACCCTGACAACATTACAGAATGCTTGCAGAGAAAGGTGGTATATTTTTTTGGTGACTCTACAATCAGGCAGTGGTTTGAATACCTTACTGCATTTGTTCCAGGTTAGTACTTTGCTGTTTTCAAATTATTTCCCATGTGCATGAAATCAGTAGACTCCTGCTGCTGCCTGAAGAAAAGCATCTTGTGAGGAAGGAGTTATTTCTAGGTAGGACTAATGGGGTATCCTAGCCTGGGAGAGATTATGTGACAATTTCTGATAAATGGTGGGACTGTGTTGTTCTGGCAGAAACCCTGATTAACTGTGTGACTTTGGATAAGTCATTTACTTCTCAGGATTCATTTCTCCCTGTGTGAGATGAGATAGCTGGACCAGGTGTCTTTTTCTTTTACATCTAATATTCTGGGTTATACAATAGAAGTGGACATTTCCATTGTTTCTCTTCAAGTTCCAGTTGGTCCAATCCCAAATTATACTAGATGTAACTGGAAGGAAGTAGCCAAACTTACTGTGGTTTATTTTGATGCATCCTTGTAGCAAAGCCATCCATTAGGCCTTCCAGTGGTATGATTCTGAGCTAGAACTGGCTCCTGCTCAGGGAGTCTGGGTAAGTTCCAGCATTCTTAGCTTCTTGATTTCTCTGCTTGGCTCTGGGATTGCTGTCCAGATGCAGAGCATAACTTTACTGGTTGGAAGCCTGCCACTTATTTGCAAAAGGATTTCTTTTTCTGGAAGTGGTGTGGATGAGGTGAGGAGGGATGGATCCTAGGAAATTGATAAGTTTGTGGGAACTTTTTTTATCGTTATGTATGAGCAGGGCTTTTCATAAAATAAATCCTCATGGTTTGTTGTGAATTGTTGTTGTGATGTTTTTCTTCAACTCTCCTATGTATTATATAAAATCACTTTCAAATTTGATTTTTAAAAGGAAAGGAAGAAGTAGATATTATCCTAAAAGGAAAAGCCAATTCCAGTTGTTGTTTTTTATTGAAATGGACATGGTTGAATTCTGCTTGATAAAACAAATTAATAATCAAAAGAGAAACTATGTGGCATGATGCCAGCCATGGTTTGATGCCAAGTAAGCAGTGCTTTCAGGAGGTTGTAGTTGCTTGCTTCTTAATTTCTTATGATGTAGTTTGGTATTTCCACTAATGGCAATGATCACATTGACCATTTTGTTTCCCACCAGACCCTTTACAGAAATACTTTCATCTGATAAAGCCTTGTGTGGATGTTTGATCTTAATCGAAAGAAAATGGTAGCTTGAGCTTTTGTGCAGTGTAAGTAGGGCTGGACACTTAACTGTAATGAATTAGGAAAATCTGGAAGAGAAGTCTGGGATTACAGGAAGAAAAAAGTGAAACCAGCTTTAACTAAGAATGCAGGACAGTTACAGTCTGATCCACCCTCTTCAGATAGACTCTCTACTTCTTGAGGGCAAGGACTAAGACATCCCTGGGGCTTTTAGTGCCTACAGTAATGGGCACCCAATGGGTACTTAGGAAGTGCTAATGGAATTGTGTTGCTAACATTTACTTACTCTGTTCTCTCTAAGGCACTTTTGGGAACATTTAGGTTGATGAGACAGATTGTCTTCCCTCCTGGGGGCATATTTCAAGCGATGAATTATACAGAGCCTTTTAGGAGTGACAAGGAGGTCCCACTGATTCCTGAATTCTTTGGAATATTTGAGAGGAACTGGATCTTGAAACACAATAAGGGAGAGGAAGAGAAGGGAATCCTAAATTGTGCTGCTGCCTTTGTAATTTCTCATGATAGAGACAGAAGTTCTATAGGACATAAATATGATTTTCCAACCATAGGGTAAAATTGAAAGTCAAAAGAAACAGAGTTGCTTCTTTCATTTACTACAGAAAGAGGAACTTGCTTTTTTTTAGAATTGTAATTTAAATTGCTTTATTTTTGTTTTTAAAAGTTTATTTTAATTGACAACTAATATACAATTGTATTTATTTATGGGGTATGGTGTAATACTCTGATATATGTGTACATTGTATAGTGATTATAATTGATATGTAAATATCACTTCACATATTTATTTGTAGTGAGAACATTTAAGATTACTTTTTTAGGGCCGGGGATTTAGCTCAGTGGTTCTACCGCCTGACTCGCAAGTGCAAGGACCCGAGTTCAATCCCCGGTACCAAAAAAAAAAGATTACTTTTTAAAAGTAATTTTGAAATATGCAATACATTATTATTAAATATAGTCACTGTGCTGTGTAGGAGATCTTAAAAAACTTAATCCTCTTAACTGAAGGTGTATACTCCTTAATCAGTATTTCCCCATTCTCCCCTCAGCCCACTCCAAGCTCCGTAGCCCTGGTGAGTTTTTACTTGCTACTGTATAAGTGTTAAACTTTTTTAGATTTCACATATAAGGGAGATCATGCAGTCTTCGACTCTCTCTACTTGGCTTACTTCATTTAACATAGTGTCCTCTGGGTTTATCTGTATTGTTGCAAATGACTGAATTTCCAAAAAAGAAGTATTTGGTTGCTGATATGTATTCATAAAACAGAAGGTACAGCCCTCATCCTGGAAGATACATTTTAGAGGAATAAAATGTAAATGCCAGTTTGCTTTAAAAATATTAAATGATCAGTGCAAACAGCAAGATTTCTTGGCTAAATAGAGGTAAACAGGCATTTTGTTTCTGAGGGAGAGACATAGATATAGAATCTCTTTCTGATGGTATTATTTATAATGCCATATATAATGTTAATGAATATAATGTTAATGAAATCAGGGAAATAGGCATTTCCTTTACATTTGTATTATAATGTTTTGTTGGACTTTAATTTTAAAAACTATTCTTTGTCCCACTTAAAAATATTCAAAAATATATGTGCTTAGTTTGAATGTCTTCATGAATTTGAGTTTTCTTTGTTTCAGATTTAGTGGAGTTTAACTTGGGTAGTCCCAAGAATGTGGGTCCCTTCCTTGCAGTGGACCAGAAGCACAACATCCTGCTCAAATACCGCTGCCATGGTCCACCTATCCGCTTCACGACTGTCTTTAGCAATGAGCTCCATTATGTGGCAAATGAACTGAATGGCATCGTGGGAGGGAAGAACACAGTAGTTGCCATAGCCATATGGTCTCACTTCAGCACCTTCCCCTGGGAGGTGTACATCCGGCGGCTCAGGAACATCCGGAGAGCAGTGGTCCAGCTCTTGGATCGAAGCCCTAAGACCATAGTGGTCATCCGAACAGCCAATGCCCAGGAGCTAGGGCCTGAGGTGAGCCTCTTCAATAGTGACTGGTACAACTTTCAACTGGACACTATCCTTCGGAGGATGTTCTCAGGGGTTGGTGTATATCTTGTTGATGCCTGGGAGATGACCTTGGCCCATTATCTACCCCACAAGCTGCATCCAGATGAAGTTATTGTGAAGAACCAGCTGGACATGTTCTTGTCTTTTGTGTGCCCCTTGGAGACCTAGCCTGCCTTGGCCGAGACTAGAGGAATCACATTCAGTGACCTTCCCAACTGATCTGCATTACAGAAAGTTCCTGGGTGGCCCCATTGTGAAGTGGCTACTATCAGTATGTAGAAAATTAAAAAAAAAACAACCCCAAAACCTGTACTTTATATAATGAACTGTAAGGAGCTTAGTCAATGCAGGTTACATTTACATCTATCTACCTGTAGATTTTTCCAATCTTAGCCATGATAGAACCTTATTAACAGCTCACACTGTATTCCCCTGGTAACCAAAGACGCCAATGAGTATATTTCAACTAGCTTTTCTTGGGAGTGGAGATTACTGTGCTAAAATGTAAGAGAAATGTTCTGATGTAAATGGAACGGACAAATTTGGTTGACAGTATAGAGTGTCTGCAGCTTATCTGGTAAAGGAAATCAAACACCTTTTTCAATAGCACAAGTGGTCCATCTTGGGGGAGTGAATTAGGGCTTATGGTCAGAGGCTCCTGTAACGCAGTGAAGACTGCCAGGTCTCTGGGGTTTCTCTTGATCTACCTTTTCTGAATTACTTGAAAAGACCAACGTAGTTGGTCAGAGTTTTATAGTGAGGATATTAACAAGTTCCTGTTTTTATCTAAGAAAGAAGCAGAAGAGAAATATGAAAGCAGTATATATAAAATCTGTGTTTTGAATTGATATTTGCATTGAATGATTATTTCTTACTTGATTCAGCTAAATTTTATGCGATGAATACTTATTCTAGAATAATCATTTTTGGAACTAAAAGGGATTCTATACACAAAAGTTTATTTTTATGTTCTGAAGTTTGAGGGTTTTAAGGATTGGCTTTTACGTAAAGAATGCAATTATAAAGTTGTAGAGGTTTCTCTCCACTAATTTCAAGTATTTGGTTTTTGGTTATTTTGACCTACATATCAAAATTAGAAATTAGAATCTAATTAGAAGTTAATAAAATTAGATATAAAAACTCATGACAGGTATTTCTTTTCTTTTTTTTTTTTTCCTTGATTTGTGTATAAAGTATACACATTCTCTCATACTTGGAAGTAAAAAGCTGCTTTTTCTACTAAGAGTAATTGAATTGCCAATTTTGTTTTATTTTATCTTGTCAATTTTAAATGAGTTTAGTTAATTTGGGATCATTTATTAAGTACCCTTCTTTTTGAGCTATGGTAGATTACAGTCTAATATTAGTTGTCTGTAATGAGACATGTGAAGGAATTGGGGAGGTTTTAGAGATGTTTAAAGCATGAAAAGTTTATAACCCAAGAGAGTTGGATCAAAGAATTTAGTTTTTTTTTTTTTTACTTTAAACAGAGTGCCTAAGATCTTCCTTATTGTTGAGGATCATCTAATATTTTTATAGGGAAAAGTTTTAAAAAACTTTTCTGAATCCGAAGAGGACAAAAGTAGTAAATATATGAAGATAGCTTAACTTTAATGGTCCTTAAGCTTGTAATATTTGATAAAATGCAGAATTAAGGGCTGTGCCTCCAGGAGTTAAGGAGTTAGCCTTTGTGGTAAGTGCCCAGTGATTCTGACATAGTAGTGACATTCTACACTTTGAGAAACACTGACAAAGAGGGAAGATAGAACTAGGAAAGTGACATTTGTCTGTTGTTTCAAGAGCTTTACCGGTGTCTTACTTAATTCTGATTATGATCTATTAAGGTGATACTAGCTCCATTTTATAGATGAATAACTTGAGTTTGGATTTGAACTAAGGTATGTGGGGGTCCATACCCCTTTTCAGCTACAACTTGTTAGGCTTTTGTAAAGAGGTTTTATTTTTTTGAGAACTTTTGGTATTTTTCAAGAAATATTGCTGGACGAGGCTGAGGAATTGTTTTCCTTGGGGAATTTCTTAAATTTTTTTTTTTTTTTTTGTACCAGGGAGCGAACTCAGGACCTTGTGCTTGTGAGGCAGGTGGTGGCACCACTGAGCTAAATCCCTGGACCTTTTTTTTAAATTTAAATTTTTTTTTTTTTTTTTTTGGTTCCTTGGGGAATTTCAAGAAGAGAACACTGCCTCTCCAGTGGTCTGGAGAGATGCTGCTTGTGTAACTGATTTCCTGTGACCTCGTCTAGTTTCTGTTACTTTTTGATTTCATTACGTAAAGTCCTAAAGATTTGATGACATAGTTCTTGAGAAAATCTCCATCACTTTCTTTCCTCTTTGTATTTCTACACTCTGGTGTGGAAATTTTAATAGAGATTGAAATACTACCTGAATTGTTCTCAGAACAATTAGGTATACACTGAGGATCCCTAATCTGAAAACCCAAAATCTGAAATGCTTCAAAATCTAAAACTTGTTTTTCTCCCCCATGGGAAGGGTGTTTTTTTTTTAATGAAAAAAAAATTTTTTTTGGTACTGGGGATTGATTAAATTAAGTTTTTATTGGTACATGTTTGGACTACATAATGACTATATTCTTCCTGTGGAGTTGGTGCATGTACATAACACATCTTAATTCTTTTTCAGCCCCTTCCCCTTCTTCCGCTCCCTCCATCCCATGACCCCCTTCCCTTTTGCAAAAGATTGATTTATTTCCTATGATCTATCTCTTATTTTGTTCTTTATTTATATTTTGGGTTTCTTATATGAGAAACCATGTGATATTTAACCTTGTGTGTCCAAAACTTTTTTAAGTATCTGACATGATACCACCAGTGGAAAATTCTACTCCTGACCTTATGTGACAAGTCACAGCCAAAACACAGACACACTAAAACTTTGTATAAAATCACCTTCAGTCTATTTGTATAAGGCTTATATAAAACAAATTTCATGTGTAGGCTTGGATCAATCACTGAGAGTCTCTCTATATATGCAGATATTCCAAAATTTTTTAAAAAGCCAAAGTCTGAAACATACGATAATTTCTTCTGAAAAATGTATTGTAGACTAGCACTACACAGTTGTGAACATTAGCATGTCAGCCAAAAAATAGTTTGTTTTGAATCTATTTTTCCTATTATAAATGATTTCATAAATTTAAAAAACCTATAAAATCTAGAAGAAAAAAATATATGGATAAAATCTATAATTCTATCATGAATGCAATGAATTTTAGAATTTTTGATATTTTTCTTGTAGGTTTTTAACCACATACCGTTGGCCCTCCATATTTCTGGGATCTGTATCTGTGGCTTCAACTACTGTCACTTCAGATAAAAATATTTGGGAGGGGCTGGGGATTTAGCTCAGTGGTTTGCCACCTGCTGCACAAGTGTAAGGACCTGAGTTCAATCCCAGGTATCAAAAAAAAAAAAAAATTGGGAAAAAATTACATCTGTACTAAACTTGTAGAGAATTTTCTTGTCATTATACACTATACAGTATAATAAACATCTATTTACATAGCATTTACATTGTATTAGGAATGATATGTAGAGAGGATTTTCTTTTTTGGTACTGGGGATCAAACTCAGGACCTTGCACTTGAGAGGCAGGTGCCGGAACCACTGAGCTAAATCCCTGGCCCTGTAGAGAGGATTTAAAGTATACAGAGGATGTGCATAGGTTATATACAAATATTTCACCCTTTTATATAAGGGTGAACATCTGCTGATTTTGGTATCTGCAGGGGGTCCTAGAACCAAAGTACTGAGGAAAAATTGTAGTTTTAAACATAGAGAATATGTAATTTGGATCTGCTTTTTATTTAACATACAGCATAAATATTTTTCTATGTTGAATAGTCTTAATACCATAATTATAAAGGTCTGCCTCATAATTCTCTAATGATGTTATTTGTACATAAGTTAGCCATTATATGGTTGGCTGTTTAGGCTTATAATAAACTATTAAAACTGGTTTATATATAATTCCTATGGATTATAATATGGATTTTTATTTTTGCCTGGAAGTATTAATATAACAGTGAATCTCATATTTCAGAACTGAAATAATGGATTTGATAGTACTGTATTAAGGTCCTCTATGAAAATTGTATTTTATAGATGTTACCCTATAAAGAGTAACCATTCTTTAGCACATACAAAACAGATCTTTTGTGTTCCAATATGATTCATTTTACCATTCTGAACAACCATAATGCTGATTGAGATTTCCTTACTTATTAAGTTTCAGATTGATAAATTAGGGTTCTTGAGAAGAATATGATAAGCCACTATTCAAATGTTACATGTCAGAAGTAAGTCTGTTTCTAGACTCTGTTAAAGGAAATGGCAATGACCCAAGAGAAACAAATAAGACTGCCCAGCCCTGCAGAAAAGCAGCTTCTTAGCATTATTTTTGTGAGATCTGGGTAAATTCAGCCCTTAAACATTAATCACTAATGCTAGAAGCTTCTCTTTTCAAGTATATTCATTTTTCATGCTTTAAGAATTATTCTCCCCAGGGTTTATTCTTCAGTAAAGTTTCAGTGAACTCAGGATGCCTTTACATCTCACCTCTTTTTGAAATGACACACAGTCTGTGAGTGCTACTGGAACCTGGGGGTAAGGGGAGGTGGTGGCAGAAGGTTGTTGAGGGCAGAAGTTCATAGGACAGAAGCTGAAAGCACAAAACACACTTCAACTTTAATCTGTCTCTTGAAAGTGCACCTAACTTTAAAAATGTGAAGTTAAATGCATTATATATAATTTTCTTTTAATATTTGAATTAAGAGGAAATCAGGCCTATTGAGTTTTAAGAACCTGACACCCTTGTCTGGAGGACATGCCTATTCCTATTGGAGAACCAGACGCCCGTCATTTCCTGTGTGATTGTAACATGCCTGGGGAAGATAATAGTAAAAAGAAGAAAGACAAAGGAAGCTAAACAGAGATCACAGTATCCAGGGTCCCAAAAGGAAGAGAAATGACAGTGAAACTAAATGCCATAGCAGAAAACCTTTGAGAGTTGTGCAATGATTCATTCCCTGTATAAATCCACCCCACCCCGAACGCCTGTGGAAATAGCGATCTTCGTGTCACAAGACCACTGCTTTAAAAAAAAATTTTTTTATTGGTGCATTTTAGATATACATAATGAAAACATTCAGAGGGGGAAAAAAAAGCGTAAAGACCACTGCTTTCTGAGGCAGATTTCTGGACCTTTAGTTTGTCAAACGTAATAGTGATA